ATTGTCTTTAGAAGTATTTTCTTCTACTACTGGCCGTTTATGACCTGCTGTATCTGCCGGTCCATCGTGCCACTAGGATATCCTGGTCATTCCTCAGCATAACGTGATCTGCCTCACCTGATGTAGGAGAAGCTTTGGAAGTAGTCAGGCTTAGCAGCAATGAGTCCTTGTTATTATAGCACTTGGAGGCACATGTATTTTCCCTGCATGACATAGGCAGGCCATAGAAACCCAGTGTGACGACATGGTGATCAGTTTATGAGTTAAATGTGTATTGGTGTTGAGTTATGTTTAATTATGTTATACTGTGTAACCTGGTTATCAAAAGACTCTCAGCACCATCACTCGTTATCTCCCATTGTACTCTGAAGGAGCCCAGGATAATGACATTCTGGCCAGGCTCCTGCTATGGCTTTCTGGAGCTCGTTAGCAGGGGAAACCCTGTGGTGTTGTGAAGACAGATTGTCTGGGGAAGGAAGGGTGGGAGTAATGGGATTATAATCTGATATCATCACTTGCTGTATAAAAGTTTGTGCAGTTGCTCAATAAATCAGAGTTTGTTTCACCCTACACTTGTGTCTCGACCAGTGACTGGGGAAACTGAGAGCTAAGGATCTTCAGGTTGCAATATCTCCTCAGCAAGGAAGAATACAGCGGCGGACATACTCATCCTGAGTATGGGGGTGCGTCACACCCAGCAAAGACAAATTAATTACTGCGATCAGCCTGTTGCACTGAAAAATATTAAGCAGGTCTCAGCGTAGTGCAGTTGTTAGTTTGCAGTTTAGAATATGAAAGTTTATATTTAACACCCCTTTAACACGCCAGCTTTATAGGGTTTATTATAATGGTCCAGCCCAGAATTAAGTATAAATGCCAAGTATTTAACTATCCTGTTTACTGATCAATGCGGACATGCCATTGCTTATTTAATATTACATAGATAGGGTGTATGAGGTAATTCTGATTTATTTTTTTAATACGCAGCAACGTCAGAGAAAGAGGATGACGTGACCCTGGTCATTCTACACAGGAGAAGGATGCTGCTGGCTGTATATTGCAAGCTGATAACCTCCAGTGTAGTGGAGATGTCAGCTGTAGCGGAGATTTACAAGCAGTATATGAAGGTAATTACAGTGATACATGCATACCGGTGTTTTCTTTCTTGAACATATGGATGGGCATTCTCTAGAATGCATATGTTTTTCTACAGGCCAACACACAATATAAAGACATTAGGTGATTTCTAGTGTTTCTGTACTTTACTGTGTTAAATTGTTGATTTTGCCCTGTTTTGCATTAAATGAATAAAGGTTTAATGTTAGTTTGTGTCAGCTGATTAGATTTAACACTGATGTGTAAGTCTGGCAAAGTGCAGTAATCAAGAGCAGCCAGTAGGGTTGCCACCTGTCTAGGATTCACCCGGACAGTCCGGGTTTTGAATGCTGTGTCCGGGTTTCATGGCAGCAGAAACCCGGACACAAGAAGTCAGGCAGACAGGGCTACCAAAATTAAGATATGGGCTACTGGCCTCCCACTGAAAATAGTCTCAACTGTGATATTTACATATGAATGGGTGGCACTATTTACATATAAATAAGCCGCGACTCATTCTCCCCAACAAAATGTCCGCTCGTCGCTAGAGTGTGCTCGGGTTTCGCTTGAAGGAAAGGTGGTAACCCTAGCAACCAGTCAGAATTATACTTTACTTTCCGCAACATAAAACTTGGTTGTCGAGTTGCTGCTTTATGCACACCATTATTGCCATTTACACAACTTTATTGAACAACCCCATAACAAATAACATGTGAAAGCATATAGCAACCAATCAGATTCCACCTGTCTTATTGGTAAAGTCTTATTGACTGGTATGGGCATCACAACCATTTTTCTTTCAAACTGTTTTATCCAGGATTACCTTTATATCTTATGAAATGATTTCCAATCCTGGATTGCTAGTCAAACTTTAACTTCTTAAATTATAACAACTCTTTAAGAAGTATATAACTTATGAGTCTGGAGCCGTAAAAGTTACAATCTAGGATTTTTTTTTTACTGACTACTGTAGGCCTACAATGACTTTGGTGATATAATTAAGGAAACCTTGAGCCGAACAAGACAGATCAACAGGATAGAAAGTGCAAAAACTTTGGTCCTTTGTCTGAAAAAGGTAAGAAACTGAAACATTCTTGAGCAGAAAGTTTAACACGTCTTACCGATATCATGACCCTCGATAGACCAGTGTGACATCCCCTAAAACGTTCTTGTAAGGACAGATGAAAATGATAGAAGGGTGAACATAAATGGATGAGGTAGTCATGGATATAACAGAATTGAGGTCAGGATACAGAGAGAGTTAAGACTGTTCATAGGCATGCAGATATTGTCTTGAGAAGGACAGACGTTACAGTATCTGCCTGTTCTCCAATAAGTCACTGGGTTGCCAGGGCCAAGTGTGATCCTTGCTTCTCAGTGCCTCTGGAGCCTTACTTTAATTTTTTCCTATTCTCAATAGATAATTTCAACTACTGTGTGCTGTGAACCTCTAACTGCTAGTCATGAGCTCAGAAACAACCCAATAGAATCAAACAAAAGAAACCTCCCAAAATTATGTGGCCATATACAAATGTTTTACTCATCAGTTCATACAGTGGACAAAAAATACATAATAAAGATAGAAAATAATACAAAAATCGTATCACCAAACAGCTTTAAAAACATTTAATTCTGGTATTATAGAAGATGGCCACCCAGATAAGGAAAATGTTCATGACTTGATATAGGCTCAGGTCTATAATGTACTTAAGATAAGTACATGCATTAGTGTCCAATGCATGACCTATGCTTGAGTGTCTATGTTCCAAAGAGAGATTCCTAGGACTGCACTTAAATATAAATATGTCACTATGAAAAATACAAAATTCTCAGAGCTATTATAACAGTGAAATAGTTATGAGCAATATATAAAGCAAAGTGCTAAATTTTAGCTAAAAAAAAAACAGATCTAAAATGGAGGAACGTAATGAAAATCTGAGCGGGGGAAACACAAACAAGGTACAATAATAATCTCAAAAACTGGAACGGGATGATGTAAGACGGCAAGTGAAGAATAGGGAAATTAAAAACAAGAAATGTGTGTTCCAGGATCTTCAAATTAAACATTTTCCCTACCAACTAACCCTTTCTGAGCATGACCTATCTTCTCACATGGTATTTGAAAATCTCCTAGCAAATCTACAGGGCCCAAGGCTTATTTAATTTCTATACACTTTACACCTCGCTAGTATGTAGGACACCCCCATACCTCATATGAAGCAATGGGAGAGGGACATCCAGAAGCACCTAGCAGCAGAGGACTGGATCCAGATATGGGTCTCTACTGCCATAAGCTCAGCTAATGTTCTAGCAGTTGAGATGAATTATAAACTCCTATTGTATTGACTTGTATTTAGTTCCTTTGCAGATCTCTTGCTTCATTCCTGCTATCCATCTCTTTGTTTTCAGGGCTATCTGTAGAGGGATCCTTTCTACATGTATTGTGGGACTACCCAAAAGCTAATAGGATCTGAGTTTACCAGCATTTATATACAGTGACTGGCACATTTTTCCGTAAAGACCCCTATGAGACCCTTCTTAAAAAAAAAAAAAGCCTGATGCATGTACAGTTACCTAATTGAAGTTAGTAACTTACATGTCCATATCTGATGAAAGGGTGATTACTTAGGCATAGAAGACTCCAATAATCCCCTTTGCAGAGGTCAAAAACCTACCCACTGCTGATACTCCAGTCCCCCCCTTTTTACCTCCCCTGATCCTGTTATCTTTCCTCCCTATTCCCCCACACCCTTTCTTTGTTCTCTTTCTTCCTTCTCCCCCTCCCTTTTTCTCTCTCTTCTTAATTCTATGTTTTTTCTCTTCTTCTGGCCCCCATTCTTACCCCGAACATTCAATCTCCAAAATCATCTCTTAAGTGCTCCACCTAATAAAAATGTATTTACAAAAAAAAAACAAGGAAAAGGAAACTGGATGATTTGCCTGAACAATACGTTTATCTTAGACTTTTTTTTTACAATGGGTTAAAGGCACATCTTAATAGTTGTTGTAGGCTAAACAATTAATTTGTCTGCAGTTTGCATTCAAAACACCCATTAGCTGATATGCTCATGACTTATCATTTACTTTCCCCAAAAAATGTGCAGAAGCTGCAACTGGAAATTCTTATAAAAAATGTAGTATATTAGTTTGCATATTAATCTATTAATCTCTTAAAGGAGAACTATGAGGTTAAGGCTTTTCCCCATAGTTCTCCTTAGGGTAACGGGAGGACACAAACTAGCGTCCTCCCGTCACCCTTGGCTCAGTATACCGCGAGCCAAGGTATGCTAAGACGCCGCAGCTGAAGCGGATCCCGACAATTATGTCTGGATCCGCCCAGCTGCGTGACTGACAGCTGGCTCTGTACAGCTGTACGCGCTCTGTACAGCTGTACGCGCCCCCTCCCCCGTCCGTTCCGCCAGTCAGCGCTGGCGGATCGGAGCGGGGAGGGGGGAATCCAGCCCCTCCCCTGCCGTGACAGGTTCGAGAGGGGAAATGTTGTATAGATGTCATCAGCACTCCAAATATGACAGAATACGTCAAGATTTTAGTGAATCTTCATTTTTATTTTCGAAGTCACTTAAAGTGGAAACAAGCGCTTTCGGGGCCGCGCAGGGTCCCCTTCATCAGGCTTAAAGTGAACCTACAGGACAGGATCGAGAGGTGAGCGAACGCTGGTATGTGTTCGCTCACCTCCCGATCTACTGAGCCGACTCCTACTTCTATGATCAATAAAACAGTGACAGTGAAACAGTGAAATAAAAAATATTTTCAGTAGAGGTGAACTTTGTATCTACAGTGACACTAGATATTGAAAAACTACAAGTGTTATATTAGTATAATACATAACATAAATGGTACAATAATATTGCTTTACGCTTATTCTGTAAGGTAAATAGCAAAGTGCACTAGGTAAAGAGCAAAGTGCAGTAACCCTTAGCAACCAAACTGAATTCATATTCTAGTTATCTGACTTCGATAAATTGCATTCTAATTGGCTCCTATGGGTTCCACCACTTTGGACATACATTTAGCTTTTTCCACTGCCTTGCTGAATAACACCGTACTAGTGTAATTAGTTAAAATGTGTCAGCAGCCATTGAGGGTGAATGCCATTTACATGATGTACTATGTAAGGCAATAGATAATGATTTCTCCGTATCAGTGTCAGCTGTATGTCATATATGTAGAAATACGATGTACTTAGGAAGATTATTACTTATCAGATTTGGCAGGCAGCTTCTATTTTGCAGCTTTTAATTGAAAGCACTAGAAGGCAGAACTCTGTGTGTGATTTGTGACAGGATTGCATGTTTCCTGGCTGATCTAGAAACATAATTGAAAGCATGACTTATCACGTCGTCAGGCTTGTTATTATAGGGATACAGATGCTTGCCATTTCATTCAGTGCATTGTAAATAGCCCCCCCTTGACACCGGGGAGGAAGGTCATTGAGAGACAGCTGAAAATGAACGCAAATTAACAAAACTGAATGTCCTTGTTCCTTAAAAAGACATGACCCATAACAGCTCTGCTTTCTTTTCTCCGACATGGTGATGTGATTGCAGCTGTTTCTGGAGCACAGAGAAGCACATGACAGTGCCACCCCGTCCCCTGCGTCATTCACTAACATAAAGGAGCTGGCTCGCCGCTTTTCTCTAACGTTTGGCATGGACCACGTGAAATGCAGAGAATCTATTGCTATGATGCACAAGTATGTGAAGTGGAGGTTTTCCCCTTACATTCACTATGCTATTTATACCATTCTACAGCACTACAAGCAAGGCTTTATTAGGCTGATCCTTATTTAAGCTACATTGGCTCTCAAGTATAAGAGTGTCAAAAGTTTATAAACAGGTTTTGTTGCCTGTAGTAACCAACCAACCAGATTTTGTTCTGTCCTCCCCCACACTGCACTTAAAAATATAAAAGGGAGTAAGAAGAACTGTGCTTAGCTCAGACACTTTCGTGCCCAAGGTTTTTCTAGTTGACCAGCGACAATTAAAAACAAAAGGTAACAGTTACTAATTATTAATGTGAGATATTAAAGTGGGTATTAAAACCACACAAAATAATATTTTGCCTATGATAATCCGCACCAAAATGACCTAAACAGATCCTTTTCTTTAGGGTCTATTAGGTCTTTGCATTGCGGCTACACGTGCACCACGCTGCATTCTGGTGCCATGCTTTTTGAATGGCAACCAACACATGGTACAATAGACAACACACCACAACGTATATGGCGTGTGTTTCAGCGAGCTGCATAAAATAATTGGAGCATGTCCAGTTTTTTGTGTGTAAGGGTGCACTGCCAGCCTCCTTAAAGCAAAGGCCTGCCTTAATGCAGTGAACTGTTATACAAGGTAGTGTGACTTAGTCCTTACTGTTTTCGAGCAGTAAATACCATCTGGACAATTGTTATCATTCTGCAGTTTAAAACAAAAAGGTAGAGAGTACATTTTAGAAATAGGTTGGTTAGCACTAGGGATGCACCGATACTAGTATCGTTATCGGTGCCAATGCCGAGTATTTGGGCGAGTACTCGTACTCGGCCAAATGCTCTGATAGCCCCATACTTGAGCTTCCGGTATCAGGAAGCTGGGCAGCGAGTCATTATACACTGCCTGGTTTTCTGATTGGCCGGGAAGCCGGCTCCATACTCTCTTGTCACGAGGGAGCATGGAGCCGGCTTCCCGGCCAATCAGAAAGCTGGCTCCATGCTTTCTTGTCCCCCAGTGATTAGGGAGCATGGAGACGGCTTCCATGCTAATCGGGAAGCTGGGTGGCAAGTCTTTACATGTTGCCTGGCTTCCTGGCTAATCAGGAAGCCGGGTGGCGAATCATTACACGCCGCCTGGCTTTCTTATTGAGACTTCCGGTATCAGTAATTCAGTATCAGCAGGTACCGAAAAAAAAAAAATATCGGTACTTGATACCGAAAAACCGGTATCGGTGCATCACTAGTTAGCACTACATTCATGGATATGATGAAAATTAAAACAATATTTCTATTTCTTTTGTATGAATTGTTAAAAATAGCTTATGTTGAAGAAAAACTCTGCGGTATACTCACCTGAACCATAGAGATGGCTTGTTCTTGTTCTTCCCCTCCGTTGCCACGATCTAAGGTCCTGTATATAATCACATTCTATACACAGTGTATAGATGTGAGGCACTGAGGAACATTCCAATGCTGCAGTGTAGGAAGAGAGAGGCTTCAGAGACCGAAGAAGCAGGGAGTCGGCTCATTGGTTCCGGTGAGCATAACTTTTTATTTTTGGAGCACCTAGACAAAAACAAGAAAGTTAACCCTTGCAGTTCGTTGGTAGCCCCACTGCAAGGGTTCATAAAGGTTTCACCCGGAGTTCTTCTTTAAACTCAGCTATAAACTTAACTAAATTGGAAGTTATCCCAACTCTGCAGAAAACAGTCCTTGTACAAGAAGAAATATGTACAATATACACAAATGGGCATATTTAAAAAGAGCAAGCATTACTCTTTATCTGATCTGACTACTATTAAAAGCTGATTGGTTGCTACAGGTTGCACATAGTCATTGCACTTAATTTGCCATATTGAATAAGTCCAAATTGGTTAATTTCACATCTGGTATGCTATCTTTTAAAGCGGGGAAGGCTTAGAGCCTTTTTATCTCTTTGCCACTTTATGGCAAACATTTGGCTGGAGTTAGTCTTTAAACAGACATACACGCTTTTCACTAAAATGTCTCATTTGCGCTCTTAGGTATTCATGGTATAGGTGTGTCTGTGTATTTTGGTAAAACATGGGACAATATAACTAAATCTGTATACTGAATGTGCAATGGGCATGCTTTCGCACAAATGTATTGTCTTTGTTGAGTGTATTTGTCTTTGTTGCCCATACTGGTAAAGGTTTTTATATTGAGAATCTTTTTGTCCTTTTCATATCTCCTAAGGCAAGGGATTGAGTTTGCCTTCAAGGAGCCAGTGAAAGAGAATGGTCTACCACCTCCTAACCTGCCGTTTCTTGGCCTCATCAGTGAATTCTCCAATAAACTCCTTCGAGCTGACAAGAGGCTGGTGTAAGTTGCCTTTACTGGAAATTCTACATAAAATAACATGATTTTCTATGATATTTACAAGTTAGACATTGCTATACCTTTCCTGGCACAAAAAGATTAGAAAGCCTCAGTAATGAATGTGATATAGCTTGCAGTAGTTTTTTTTAGATATATTGTGCATCATGTGTAATGTTAAGGGCTGGCTATCCATCACAGGAGCCTTTTGGCATTCAACTAAAGCTGGCCATACACATAAAGATTTCTGAACAAAAGAAATCTAACAGATTGTTTCCATCCACAATAAACAGCATTGTTGGACGAATCTCCCTTGCTGGGCTTTTGTATTCTGACAGCTAGTGCCTCATTGGTTACAATCACTGTTTGACTGTCAATTTGCCACCCAGTTTCTTCCACAACAGTGAATTGAATTGGCAACATTTGTAGAGCTGGGTGGTGTCGGCAAGGCCACACACAGCTCCAATTTTGGTCAAGTCAACAGTACTTGGCCATATATTTAACAGCGTATGGCCAGCTTAAAGCAACACCCCTCTCCTAAGGTTACCTTTTTTCCAAAGAACATTTCTCTAGACTTATAATTAAACTCTATAGTTTTTTGGCATATATCTACTGCTAGCAAACAGTAGACATATGCTCTATGATTAAAACATAAATATATTAGGCAAATACCTAATTACTGTTCCAGTGGTGCTCCCGGCTGAAGCACTCCTGACTCCCAAACGGCTGTGAAAAAAGTGTAGGGACGCATGTGCACTAAAGTGGGGGGGGAGAGGAGAGAAAATGAAACTCAATGGGCGCAGCCTGGCAGCCAGGAGTGCACACGTCAGACAGACACCATGGGACCTGAGGAGTCTGCGGTGGATCGGAGAACGGCACCAGCGCTGGAGGGACTGTCGCAGATGAGTGGAAGGAAAAAGATGATCGAATCAAGAGGCATCAAGTAAGGTAAGCGCTTTCAGCAGGTTAACCCGCTTAACCTGGCTTGGAATATTGTAACAGTATGTAAAGAAGCTAATATGAGATGTTTGCTGACGATGGGAAGAAAATGTGTGGCTGAAACTATACAGGGAAAATCTGCCTTGTTCTCTCTGCCATCTCTAGGCACAGGCCTACTGTGCCTAATAGTAAATCTAGCCATGACATTGAGGTCAAAATATGATAACTGGGCAAGGAAGGGGTCTATTACCCTTAGCAATCGAGTAATCAATATTTCAATGGTCATGTTTTTAGTCATTGTATTCAATCATATTCCAACCATCAAGTTTGTACACATTTGGGAGTTGATTTACTAAAGGCAAATTGTCTGTTAACATTGCAAGGGAATTCACACTTTGCCATTAGCTTAGTGAATTAGTTTTTTTTAAATATTTTCCTTGCACGTTTGGTATTCTTTGCAAAGTGAAATATCACCTCATTCACCAAGCTAAGGGAAACATCCCCTGCAAAGTGCAAATTCCCTTGGAAAGTGAGTAGCCTATTTGCCTATAGTAAAACAACCCCATTGCTTTTTTGCTTTGCAGGCTAGATAGTGGAAGCATACGTGAGGGGAATTTAGCAAAACTGGAGCAGGCAGAATCTGGAGGAACTGAGCATGGCAACCAATCAGCTTCCATCTTTATTTTTCAACGCTTAACTGAACAAAATGAAAAGAGAAGCTAAATGGTTACTATGGGCAACTGTGCCAGATAATGTTTGCTCCAGTTCAATAACTTCCCCTCATTGTGTTTCTGCAATATCTGTTTAGGTAAAGCAGTACAAAGATAGTAATGCTGTGCAGAGTACAGTGCACTAGACCAACCAATCACAAAGCAGAGAGCCTGGCTGAGCTCACTTTTTCAAAGTTCAATCTTTTACATCTATTTACAAAGTGTTGCCAAGCATGAAACCACTGTCCACTCCCTGCACCTACCATGTTTGCCTCGGTATTCATACTTGTAGAGATCACACGTGAAGGAGCCCCTGGATGAATTGGACCCTTCTAACCTGTCTAGGGTACAGTTCCATAGCTGCCCCAAAGCACTTACCAACCCACCATTGGCAGCAGATTAACTGACTTCCACGCTGCTGATATTTGGTTTGCAGGGAATTGATTTAATAACCTTGGGAGAGAGGGTTAGGGAACAGGACACCCATGGACTTGCAGACTCTACAGTAAGGACAAATGTACTTACAGCCTTCAATGGCAGTCTGTGAATTCAGCTTCTGGCTGTAAGATTGTGGATGTTGCAACTACAGACTCCATGGAGAGAAATCACCATACTTCAGTCAAGGTACAAGCTTCTACCCAGCTTCTCAGGCTCCTTATTCAGGCTGAAGTTCCTCCATGGCATTTCACTCCCCAGGCTCCACATACTAGGCTTCGAACCGAGGCCTCAGTCCAAGTACATAGTCACCCTTTTTAGACAGCAGGCCTAGGAGGATCAGACAATCTACAGTGGAAGGCTAGGGGGAACACTGACTTCCCAAGGTCACATATTAGAGTGCAGGATCAGGTATACAGTTTTCCTAGAAATATGTATAATGAAGTGCATAAGCATGCATATAGATACGCTATGTTTACAACTCAGCAGATAAGATCTGCAAATAGGTTTCATGGATGGTTTCCTGAGCAACAACTTTGCCACATTTACACAAGACTATTGCTGGAGTCTTTTTGTACTTAAGACATCCAGAACTGTTTTACACTGTTTTGGAAATATAAGGCAATTGCCAGTAAACTATATTGCATATAGGTCATGCTAACCTGACATATATGCAAGATAGCCTGGCATTGATGGCTAAAAAAAAATATCTAGGCCTTTGTTGTGGGTTCAGTCCTACAGTTTCTGCACCGCTGTTCCACCACTTCATATGCATTCCAAGTAAAAATTCAGAGGTGAGGCTGTAAGCATGCAGCGACTCCGCTACTGATAGTAGAAATGTCAATTCAGACCACAATTCCTATTAGGAAATTAAGACATTTTACAGCTCTATTGGGTACAACTAGGCGTCACACATCAAAATAGTGAGACAGGAATTATACTAGCCATACTTGGTAACAGGCATCAAAATTAACCAGAGCTGTGTTGTTGGCTTTGATGATACTGAATTTGTTTCATAGTACTACTGACTAATACTTCAACTTCACTGGATAAGAGCATATACTCATGACTCATCGGTGTCATTCTGCAGTAATACTTGCATAGAATATCTGTAGCATAGAATATCTTTTCCCTGTGGAAGACATCTTCATACATTTGTTCTGACATCCTGTGTACTGCTGATTGCCATTACCAGATCTCTACATGAACATGTGCACTTTGTGATATGTATTCACAGGGTCAGTGTAATGCTTAACATTTTAAGTGTGAACATATATATGCTATCTCCCCTATTTTACTGCTGAGGTGGTAGTGTACTTCACCTTTGCTTACCATTTTTACCTGCTAATTTGTCTTCCATTTACCTTTTCTGCCAAATTATTTGGTAATATAAGTAGAGATTAAAAGGTGACTGTATAAGTATTTAGCAGGTGTTTCATGTCACATTTGGGTATTTAAAAATGTAATGGGAAGGAAATAACATGAAGAACTAAATGAAACAGCATGAGAAGGAATTGAGTCATATGGCTTGGTAAGGACTTGAGGGAAATGGCTGAAGGAGATAACATGGGGAAGACTTAATGGGAATGTCATGGAATGGACTAAAAGGAAATAGCATTGGAAAGACTTGAGGGAAATGGCATGGTAAGGACATGAGGGAAATGGCATGGTAAGGACATGAGGGAAATGGCATGGTAAGGACATGAGGGAAATGGCATGGTAAGGACATGAGGGAAATGGCATGGTAAGGACATGAGGGAAATGGCATGGTAAGGACATGATGGAAATGGCATGGTAAGGACATGATGGAAATGGCATGGTAAGGATAAGGAAATTGCATTGGAAGGACATGAGGGAAATGGCATGGTAAGGACATGAGGGAAATGGCATGGTAAGGACATGAGGGAAATGGCATGGTAAGGACATGAGGGAAATGGCATGGTAAGGACATGGGGGAAATGGCACGGTAAGGGCTGAAGGAGATAACAAGGGAAATGCTAAAGAAAATGGCATAGCAAGGGTTTAAGACAAATGGCATAGCAAATAGGAAGCCAGTTCTCCTAGGTTTGAAGGTATATCAGCAAAAGTTGGGTATGTTTTTTGTCAGGTATACACACTTTGATTGCAGATATGTAATGTCATTTTTTTGTCATTATATTGTTTGCTCAGGCAATCTTTATTTTTGCAGGTATGGATACCTACAGAGGTTTGCCAATGGGCAGATGGTGCATAAAGGATCTGAATGGAATCCACTGGTAGTGTACAGTAACTCTTTGTTAGATAACCATGATGAAGAAAGTTCTTTAACAGGCAGCGCCTTTTCTAGAGACCATTTGATTATGGGCACATCTCAACATTTAAAAAGAAAATCAACATATGGTGAGATTCATATATTATATATCTTACATATAACCTTTGGGTGTTTTACTTTTTTTTCTGTTTTAATTTAAATATAACAATATAACTGTCATCAAGTCTGTCTTTACACTTTTTTAAACCAGTTGCAAAGACAAATTCTAAGTTCCCTTGGTGGTAAAGCTGAATTCCAGGCAGACAACTAAATACTTGATTGAATATACTGTGCATGCTGTATGTGAGCTGTCTTATGTGTAAAAGGATTAATAATTGTGTCACTTTTGTGATTCATATACCTCTGCTAAATAGCACAACCAAGAAGGTGACACAATCTGTTAGACTAGGAATACCGTGGTGTTAGTTTCCCACCTGCTGATTGAACAATAAATGAGCAGCAACATGCTGTCATCAACTCTTCTAATGCTGCTCTATTTGTCAGAGGATATACATGCAAAAGAGCCTGTCTAGTTTCTAGTGCTGACCCTCACTCTCTCCGCCACAGTGCTACTGTACAATGGATAATATCAGGGGAAGACCTACCACTGCTGCAGCCGGTGCAGCAGCACCGGCTGCAGCAGTGCCAGTGAGGTCTGGTCCATGCAGCTCCCATTGTTCCAGGATGCTTCCCTATTAACTGGTGGTGGGAGAGGAAAGGGGAGAGATGGCAGGCAGGCAACTGGAGAACCGGAGGACCTCAACCACCAGCCTAAAGGTGGCCAATACGCTTTTGGCTGTAGGGTTAGAAAGTAGAGCTAAGTTAGGGATTGCACACATATGTGTATTTTCTTGTTTTATAACACATTATTTTCACCCTAGGAAATTTGGGGAAACTCCAGACACATTGTTGCCTTTGTAGGCTGTTCAGATCACTGTCTTGTGTTGGAGTGCCATTTAACAGGTTCACCAAGGTATATTCATTATATATGCATATACTCATATATACACTGCCTGGCCCAAAAAAAGTCACCATCTAGCCACCATTTATTGAATTTAGCTAAGCAAATAGGTCAGAGCCATCCATTGGATAATAGGTCTGGGTTCAGCAACATTATGTACCCAGAAAATGAGGTCAACTGCCTATACTGAATGACCAGGTTTTTCCTTTGATGGATTTTTTCTTCCCTGATGGCACAGGCATAGTCCAAGATGACAATACCGCGATTCATAGGGCTCATATTGTAAAAGAGTGGTTCGGGGAGCATGAGACATCATTTTCACAGATAGATTGGTCACCACAGAGTCCATACCTTAAACCCATTGAGAATCTTTGGAATGTGCTGGAGAAGCCATTAGGCAGTTGTCTGACTTTGCAATCATGAGACCCATTCTAGGTCTATGGGCCGCAGGATGGAAGTGGACATGTGTCCGTTTAGGTCCAAAAAAAAACAGGAGGATGCAAACATTCTCTTACGGACACACATCTTTAGAGTTACATTGGGTTTCCGGTCACATACCCCTGGAAAACTGACAGGACTGCCTGTGTGAAAGGGGCCCCACTTGTATGTGCTCCCTTCAGCTTCAGCTATTAAGTTTGTAAACTACTGGAAAGGAAAGACGTCAAACTGAAAAAGGAGCCTAATGCTTCACCTGACTTAAACATATCTATGCCATTATATCATATGCAATATTTATACAGTTTTATTCTTTAATGCTGACCATGATAAATAAAAAAGATCAACAACACCACAGTATATTCCCTTTAAAATGGAATTTCAGACAGAAGACACAGATCAGTAACAGTAAGCTAGTGTTGATTTTGTGTGCCTACAAGAAGATTCATGAGGTTTCTACCTAAAAGTGTAAGGTTGTTTCTGGCACTATACTGCTTTTGTGTACGGTGAACACTAACTAGCTATTATACCGTTTAATCCAGTGTCCCACCTCCATACAGTGCTTTGCAGATCTGGATATGATATGAAACAGTCTGTTTTTCTTAATAACGGTGGCTGGTGATACAGTTCAGGCTTGTGACTGAGCAGTGGCTAATGTGTGTTTACAGTTCTACTCTGTGTTACAGAACGCATTCCAGGAAACAGCATGGCAGACAAGAGGGCATTTCATCAACAGAACTCCCATTATTCTGCTAAAAGCAAGAGACCAGGGAGACTTCAAGAGCAAGCATTCGTGGACTTTGCATCATTAAACAGGTAACTGGATACTACAGAAAGAACATTCACTGAATTATAAATCCATAAACAAACACTGACTAGAATGACTTGGCTGATATTCCTATCATATTCCCCTGTAATAGTAGAACTTTACCATGGTCTGGTGTGCCTTCCTCTCCCCAGGTCTCTGATTCTGGCAGAGGTGTTATTTTCTACATCCTTTGTCACTAAACATGGCAGCTTCTAAGTAAAGAGTAAAGCTGGCCATACACTGATTAATGGTGGCCATACACTGATTAATGCTGGCCATACAATGATTTATTCTGTTCATACACTGAATAAAGCTGGCCATACACTGATTAATGGTGGTCGTACACTGATTAAAGCCGGCCGTGCACTGATTAAGGCCGGCCGTACACTGATGAATGCCGGCCGAACACTGATGAATGCCGGCCGTACACTGATCAAAAGCCGGCCGTACACTGATTAAAGCCGGCCGTACACTGATTAAAGCCGGCCGTACACTGATTGAAGCCGGCCGTACACTGATTAATGCCGGCCGTACACTGATTAATACCGGCCATACACTGATTAATACCGGCCATACACTGATTAATACCGGCCATACACTGATTAATGCCGGCCATACACTGATTAATGCCGGCCATACACTGATTAATACTGGCCATACACTGATTACAACTGACTATACACTGATTAATGTTGGCCATACACTGATTACAGCCGACCATACACTGATTAAAGCTGGCCATACCCTTGAAGAACCAGCCAAAATATGCTCAGTGAGTGGCCCTGTCGGCAGCTTCCCACAGGCTGAATGAAGAAAAATCTAACAGTGTATGGCCAGCCTTCTTTATTATCCATCATGTCGAGCCCTCAGCTAATTTTCACATATCTCCATAGCTTGCTGAAAAAAAGCCTTTTCTCTACAGACTTATCTATAACAGGGGGCTCAGTTCAAGGTTTCAGGCAGAAAAGGCCCGTATCAAGGCTCCTGCTTTGTTTGCTCCTTGCTTAACCCACAGTGCACTGGGAATCCTTTGTCATGTATAACTGTTTATTTATAAAACAAAGATTGTAAACGCTCGAAAAACATATTCAATTGGAAAAAAAAAACTAACCCAAAAACCACGTCATACAATGCAACTAGCGTTTTCAGTAGGTCAGCAATGTCAGTCTCCATATTTCATTTACATTAGAAGCAAAATGATTCTTGGGAGCCCTACAAACTGTATATAATTATGTTTACAATGATAAATTCAGACTTTGTAACTAAGCTAACAACATTTCCTATCACCGTAGTTGTTCACAAAGATATTTTTGTATAAACCATAATTATATAGCACAACAGCTGTGATCTATAAAAGAATAGCATTTTCTTGGCAATGGGGTGAAACCGGGAAACATAAAACCGAACCAATTGTATATTGCAACCGAAGTTGGAATATACTGCAGCTCACCCGTCTTCAGAGATGGTGGCTGCATTAGACTGCAAGCACAGAAAATACCTGTTGATATTGGTAGAAATGCAGAGTCCTTGTCACTTCCTATGCTGAACTGAACTCTCAATCTCTGTTGTTGATGACTGTCCTATGTGAACTTCAAAACACCACCCCTATGTAATGGAGAGGGGATTTGTAGTCCAAAGCAGGGGAGCAACCCATGGTGACAACGCTGCTCCTCCATAGATACAGTAGAGCAGGAAAGTGCTGTCACTATAGGACAGGAAGTGTGTAACTGGCAGGTATACCAGGTGAAAATAAAGGAAAAGTACCTGGAAAAAGTAAACTAATGCAGCCACCACATCTAAGGGCTAGTCAAAGGCAATATATTACATGTTTGTATTTAGGTTTATATACACTTTAATGTTTATACCCAGTGTACTATAAGGTGGTGGTTGGGGGAATCCGTTTAGGTTTAATATCTAAGTTAACCTTCTTCATATAGTATAAGTTTGATTCTTGAATGCGTGACTTCCTACTGACAATAGATGCTGCCCTAGCTTGTGTACATGGGGCATGCTTATTGCAGCAGCTATGTTGTGTTCTTTTGTGTTTGTATACACACTTTGCATCAGCACCAGTGGACATTGATTTTTTACAGATAAGGGTGGACACATATATACTATTCTAGAGATGAAAAGAGTTGAAGCAGGCAGAATACAAAGAAGGCAGGTGACTGATACAGAAGGGAGCTGGTATATCATCTTTACAGGAAGAGACAGCTGTTTTAATGGCATGGAGAAAAGTGGGGGATAGGAACAGCTGAGTAGGATTTAAACAGATACACAAAGGATTCCTAGCTCCTAGCTTTTTTATTTTATTTTTCATTGGAGGGGCTAATCATTTTTAGATACAAATAGAGCATTATTTAAAAAAAAGACCAATTGAACTTTTCGCTTTTAAATCAACTACTCAATACATTCCAGAAAAGAAAGGTGTGCCAAGTCCTACAGAAAACAGCCAAAGCCTAAGGAAAAAAGCCTGTACCCTGCCAGCATGCTGTAGAAAAGGACCCTTGCTCGCTGTGTGGAAGCAATAGTCTATCTGCAGAGGTCCAACACACTGAGCTATATCAATCAGAGGTTCTACCCATTACCAGAATGTTTTCAATGCTGTCTGCGTTCTCATTGGGGGGATTTCATCTCATTCCTTGTTCTGTCTGACACTCTCAAAAAGAAAGGTAGTATGGAAAAATCACCAAAATGGTAAACCAGACACCAGTTGGCAGAGGCGCTAACCCTTTCCCCACTCTTTACAAAACAAAATAGTTTGGACAGAGCTGAGCATGGAAATTGGAAGCTATGGTATTTTAATATTTTGGGTGAAATAATGACACACAAAAACAGTGATATGGCCTGGTATCACTCCTCCCACTCCCAGCATTCTTCAGTCCCCCCCCCGTGTCCTAGGAAGATGGATGTCTTTTCTGAAACAATGCTTGAGCTCATCTGTTCAAAGCTGAGGACACACCGATCTGGATAGCTTCATGGAGTCTGTACCTGAATCCCACAGGACTGGATGACAGCAGGGCCTGCCAGGAATGTGCCCTTGGGGCACCGGGCTCTGCTTTTCATGCTTTCCAGACCTCTATGTACTGTGTACTTTCCAGGGCTCTGAAGACTCTTTCATTAGTAGGCTGTGTGGTCCAAGCTACTGTGTTTATTAGACCCATTGGGTACCATCATTATAACTGCCTTAGGGTACCCACACACCTTACGATAATCGCGGGAAATCCTGCAATCGTACGATTATCGTAAGGTGTGTGGAAGCTGTGCGATGTTCGGGGGTGTGTAGCATGTTCGTAAGATAAAAGCCGGACGGGCCGGTGTGCGCAAGCGCACACTGCCCGCTCGGCATTGCGGTCATCGGAAGCACGCCCCTCAGGGGGGCGCGGCTTGCGTTCATAGCAAGTACGATCTGCCTGTCCAAGATAGGCAGATCGTACGTTTTTTTTTAATTACCTTACAACCATCGCAAGACAAAAGTCGTGCGATGGTTGTAAGGTGTGTGCCCAGCATTAGAAAGGGAAATGAGTGCTGCGTGTGCACAGTGCAAACTCTTTACTCACCATTCAGTGTGAGGTTGCACATTCCCACCACTGCTTCTAATTGCAAGAGACACATGGGTGCACTTTGATTAGTCAATGCTGCTGTTCACAGTGACCTTGTCACCTTTCCTGCTTCCAGCAGTCATTTTTTGAGTGTTCAAGGTTTTATCTTGTAGTACAGCCCAGCTGTCCCTGTTTATGGTGCAACATGTCAAGTTCCAAAAACAAGGCAAGCAGTCCCACTGTGTTGTGTGCCCCCGATCCTCTAACACTCTCAGAGCAGCCTGCAGTGATCTCTCTCAAGGGCCTGACACCGATAGCCTGTTTCTCTGCCTCCTGGGGAGCCATAGTTCCTGTGTCCAAGCACAGCAGCCCCCATACATCCAGACTTCACACTGCCTGTGCTCAGAACTTCTCTCCAACAGTGCCACCACTCCTTTCCTCCTGGGCATATCAAGGCTTCTCTTCAAACTGCTATGCCACCTCCAGCAGCAGGACTTCTGGGTATCAAGGGTTCTGTAAAATCCCTGTTGAGAAACCCTGCAACAGAGTGTTACTTGAATAATTGCTGGGGGTCACATCCAAGATGTGATACTAGAAGGCTAAATATGCCTGCAGATAAATGTTGGCAAGACTTGGAGCTGCACACAATGTGCCCCCATTAACAATGCATGCATTTAATCAGTGTGATTGGGCCTTAAATATACAGCATCTTAGCATATGGTCACCCAAACACGTCTGGTTGGTTTACTCAGTTATGTGCAATGAGGAAAGGACACGTTTACTGATTATTTCTCTCTTTTTTTTTTTTACAAAACATTGTTCTTTAAGTCTACAACCTCCGAACAAAGTGAAAAGTTCAAATGCACACGTGGATGAAAGCAATGAAGATGTGGACGTTGATGAAATAGACACAAATGAGGTACATTTCATACACTGTATGAAATCTTTCATTCAGTGGTAGAAGTTTAAAAAAATTGTACTGAATCTATTGCTGCCCCAGTGTGATTGGACCGTGAAGGAGCAGCAGGACATCAATAAGGTCACCCTTGTGCTCTCCCTTTCTGCAAGGTGTGCTGTGACTAGCTCAGACTGCTGGTTTATATCTAGAGCTCAGGGTGGAGAGCACAGAACACATTAAGGGCATGACTAGGAATGGAACTACTTTGATTAATAACCAATTTCAGGCAGCAAGTAAAGGTAATTCTGTACAGCAAGCTCTGCAACGCAGAAAGTTCTTTAAATGCATTCAACCAGTTCTCACGCAGCTAACACAGACTGCATTTCCTGATATATGTGTTTTGTTCCCCCCCTATATCTTCCCACCCTGAGACTTTTTTATACTGTATATGAGAGAGATATAGCAAGGAGCCTGTAGTTGGTGTGTTTGAGAAGAGCAATCATTTATCACAAGCAGGGATTCCCAGATGTCAAGATTACGAATTAAAGAGAGGGTGGTGGTCATAGCCTGAAGTACTGAGCAGGCAGACCACGCTCCTCATATGCATGGCATAGTTCAATTATACTGACCCATACACTTATAATTGTAAGAGTTGTAAGTATAACAATTACCATCACACTGTATTACTGTCATACAAAATGTACTTTATTTTCTAGGAGCTTATTACATTTACAACTAAAGGAGCGGAAGAGATTACAGAATAGAAGTCTGTGTAGTGCCCTATTTCTTGTACAGAAGAAAATTGTTGGAGTATTGTCTTCATGAGATGGTGTAGATCAGTGAAAACGCCAGACCACATTTCTCACCACAGAGACAGTGGTTTTCCCATACAATAGAAGACTGTAATTTGTGTGTCATGTTTCTTACCGTGTACAAAGTCATGTACATGCTGGATTTTATACTGAACTGTATACTTTTTTGCAATAAACAATTTTTATAGCAACAAGGTGTTAAAAGAAAACTATTTTAGCAAAGAGAAATTATATACACTATATTGCCAAAAGTATGGGGACGCCTGCCTTTACATGCACTTTATTGGCATCCCAGTCTTAGTCCGTAGGGTTCAATATTGAGTTGGCCCACCCTTTGCGGCTATAACAGCTTCAACTCTTCTGGGAAGGCGTCCACGAGGTTTAGGAGTGTGTCTATGGGAATGTTTGACCATTCTTCCAGAAGCGCATTTGTGAGGTCAGGTACTGATGTTGGACGAGAAGGCCGGGCTCGCAGTCTCCGCTCTAATTCATCCCAAAGGTGTTCTATTGTGTTGAGGTCAGGACTCTGTGCAGGCCAGTCAAGTTCCTCCACCCTAAACTCCCTCATCCATGTCTTTATGGACCTTACTTTGCGCACAGTCATGTTGGGACAGGAAGGGGCCATCTCCAAACTGTTCCCACAAAGTTGGGAGTATGAAATTGTCCAAAATGTCTTGGTATGCTGATGCCTTAAGGAGGTCCCTTCACTGGAACTAAGGGGCCAAGCCCAACCCATGAAATACAACCCCACACCATAATCCCCCCTCCACCAAGCTTTACACTTGGCACAATGCAGTCAGGCAAGTACCGTTCTCCTGGCAAATGCCAAACCCTGACATGTCCATCGGATTGCCAAAGAAGCACGATTCTTCACTTCTCTTGAGTCGTGGTGGCGTGCTTTACACCACTGCATCTGATGCTTTGCATTGCACTTGGTGATTTAAGGCTTGGATGCAACTGCTCAGCCATAGAAACCTTCTATGAAGCTCTCTACGCACTGTTGTTGTGCCAATCTGAAGGCCACACGAAGTTTGGAGGTCTCACTATTGACTCTGCAGACAGTTGGTGACTTCTGTGCACTGTGCGCTTCAGCATTCACTGACCCTGTTGACCTTCTATGGCCCTGTCCAGCTCTCCTAGAGTAACCTCCATGCCCTTCAGGCGGTGCAGGAAGACCCATCAAAACTTCTGCCAATGGCACGTATTGATGTGCCATGCTGGAGGAGTTGGCATGCCTGTGCAACCTCTATTGGGTCCAGGTATCGCCTCATGATACCAGTAGTGACACTGACTTTAGCCAGATGCAAAACTACTGAAAGTCAGAAAAGATGAGTAGGGAAAAAATGTCAGTGGCCTCCACCTGTAAAACCATTCCTGTTTTGGAGGTTGTCTCATTGTTGCCCATCTAGTGCACCTGTTCATTTCATTAACACCAAAGCAGCTGAAACTGATTAACAACCCCCCCCATCTGCTACTTAACTGACGATCAATATCCCAGGAGTTACATTGACTTGATGCTATACTCTTTTACGCTATTCTTTTTTGAGCAGTGTGCTTGTAGATTGTCATTTCTAAAAGGTGTGTTATTTTACAGATGTGTAAAGGTCCACTTAAGAGACCGCACTAAAAACAGATATTTCATATAGGGAACGATGTGAAGCTGAATCATTGTACGGCCATAAACCACCATTTTTACATAATTTCAGCCATGAAGCACGAAGTGTTGGTTCAAGGTTTTCAGCATAATACAGTTTAATTCTGCACAACTGCCAGGCTGTATTCAGTCTCAAAGGGGTGTGTAATGGAAAAGCCATATCAAAGCATAAGCTACTCCTAAGTTGCTTTGTGAACTTGAAACATAGCAAGGCTTTGATGGTGTGGCTTTTCTATTACACTGCTCTGTAATTGAGAAATGCAGCAAACAAGAGACACTTGCTTGCAAGATAAGCCACTACTTCTGATTTTTTTTGTGTGGCGTAATTGTACAATAAAAATGCTGTGGGGTAAATGATTGTACAGGGCATTCTATGCGGAATGGTAGGAGGTTGTTCCTGCATTTAGTGTATGCCTTGGCATTTCCTACAGTCTTTCCTGCTGCAGCTGGGGTCCAAGGTGTTCCTGATGAAGTCTAACAGAAAACCAATCCCATCACAGACGGCATGAACTGTGTAGTCGCTGCAGCAAATGCTACAAAGCCACATTCCTTTAAGACGTCTCCTTTAGTCAAAATCTTTACTATTTTTTTTTTAAAGTTGTACACTGATCTGATTTTCTGTTGTAGAATCTCAATCCATGGCTGTATCAAACCTGTCCCTTAGCTAAGCAATGCAGCAGCTCCATGACTGGTGTGAATATACCGTACTAGGGATCTACAATAATCAACGTAACACCACAGTGAAATCATCCACTTCCAGGTTTTAACGGAGAAAAAAAACTGTGCAAAATATAGTTTATTTCAAAATACAATATATAAATTATTTTAATGCTTCTACACAGCAAACATTTACAAATGTCATTTTTATCTAAATTTACCATTATAATAAAATACTGGAAAATGTCCCAATTTACATATGTACATTTGAAGGCACTCAAATCTATTCCGCTTTCATCTGAGACATCGGACTTAAGGCTGGTCTTAAAAAGGGATCTGAGAGGAATGGAATGTGATAACTATAGAAACTAATGGGCTCGAACATTATATGGCACTTCAGCACAACGCTAATTTTTGGGCTTACCACATGCTAGTGCAAACAAGGCAGCATGATATAAAAAGAATGACGAGATGATTTTAAGGCAATAGCATAGAACTTTGTTCAGCTAGAAAACTTAAAGGGCAGCTCAAAGTTAAGCTTGCAAGCACAGATCAGTAGCTTTTTGTTCCAGGAACCTGGTGCTCTTGCAACTCAACACAGGACTTCTGGCACCCAATAAGGCACACGTACTTTTAGGTATTACGGTTCGGGTCAGCGCACACCTGAAGTAGACAGAAAGTACTACTAATAGCAGCCCATGGGAGACCGCTCTACTACTGCCCTTAAGTGTATTAAGCGGCTTTACCGGCAATAAGGCCTACGTATCAGAGGTTTGTGTATGTAAAGCCATCACCTCAGTGTCTGATCCTTCACAGTACCAGAAATATTCTGGTACCGCAGACTGCACTTGAATTTTCCTTTCTACTGTCTGCACAGATAAAAATCAGATCCTGGTCACTGTGGCTTCATGAAATGGTATATCAGCAATATTCTTCTCGTCAGTTTCACATGTGCACATGGTACATGATACATGATGCCACCAAACTAATGACTACAAGAGTCACACTGTTCAAACTCCAGCTTGGTGCCTTGGTAGCCCAGTCCATATTCTTATCTAGCTTATTTTTTAGGGACCAGAGCTGGTTAATATATATAAAATGGGACAGAAGGCAGAGTTTAGATTGTGGTATAGACCGAGAAAATACAATGCATGTATATTCGTTTACTATAATGCATTCTCAGAACTGTAAAAAGGATATTACAGTGCAGGCTTTTGGAAGTGAATACTGGATCAGGGACACAAGTTCAGTTTCTTCCCAACTTTACTTGTAGTCACACTAATGTCCCTTAACTACGTTACATTAGGCAATTCTAGGAAGAATTCCTTTTAGGCCACTAGAGGTTTTACATTTATTAAAATTATTTTCTTTAACAAAAGGTTAATGATTAGGTTTTCTGGACACCCATTTAATCTGCATTACCATTTTAACACTAAACCTGTTGCCACTTGTTATACAGAAATGATCAAAGTAGAATAGAGGAATTCATTGTTGAAATACAGGACACTTTCAAGACAGACAGCACAGCAAAACAAAGTGATACAATAAATATTGTTTTAGCAATAAATACAAAAATATCAACATAAATTGTTATGAGTCTTTTAGTAAATCTGTAACGCATGTATAAAGTGCTGTCCACAGCTAATACATAACACCAGGGGGAGTAACAGACCAGCTGTAGGATACCCCTCTTTTACACTAAAGTATTGTTTATTCAAAGTCATCTTCATATTCATACTCTTCAAGGTCGACTTGAGACTGTTCAGAAGCCATGTCCAAGTAAGGTCTTTTATCCATGCCATACTTCTTTTCATCCACTAGATCGGTCTCCAAGGCATTTAATTCTGCATCATAACTGAAACAAGAAAAAGATAAGCAATGTAGTTTAGGTCGAGACGAGCTGTCCATGGACATATTGTAAGTTTCTCAAAATACAAGGAACCAAGGTGTACAGAGCCCCACCTCTACTGTCTGCATTACATATACCCCTTATGGACCGCTGGAATTTTTACATTACAATTATAGACCTATTGATTCAGCAATAACGGTCAATCGTTCTGATACCCAAGTAAGATTTGTGTATTTGTTATCTTTTTTGAAAGCCTATGAGGGACACAGGAATGTAGAAATTCCTTGACAATTGGATTATACACTCACCGGCCACTTTATTAGGTATTGCTTGGTAACACAAATTGCTGATCAGCCAATCACCATGGCAGCAACTCAATGTATTTAGGCATCTAGACGTGAAGTTCAAACCGAGCATCAGAATGGGGAAGAAAGGGGATTTAAGTGACTTTGAACGTGGCATGGTTGTTGGTACCAGACGGGCTGGTCTGAGTATTTCAAAAACTGCTGATCTACTGGGATTTTCACGCACAACCATCTCTCGGGTTTACAGAGAGTGGTCCAAAAAAGAGAAAATATCCAGTGAGCTGTAGTTGTGTGGAGGAAAAGGCCTTGTTGAGGTCAGAGGAGAATGGGCAGACTGGTGCAAGATGATAGAAAGGCAACAGTAACTCCAATAACCAAGGTATGCAGAATACCATCTCTGAAAGCACAACACATTGAACCTTGAATTAAGATGGGCTACAGCAGCAGAAGACCACACCGGGTGCCACTCCTGTCAGCTAAGAACAGGAATCGAAGGCTACAGTTCACACAGGCTCCCCAAAATTGGACAATAAAAGATTGGAAAAACGTTGCCTGGTCTGATGAGTCTCAATTTCAGCTGCGACATTCACATGGTAGGGTTTGAATTTGGCGTAAACATGAAAGCATGGATCCACCCTGCCTCGTATCAATGGTTCAGGCTTGTGGTTGTAATGGTGTGGGGGATATTTTCTTGGCACACTTTGGGCCCCTTAGTGCCAATTGAGCATTAAACACCACGGCTGACCGGAGTATTGTTGCTGACCATGTCCATCCCTTTATGACTAGTGTACTCATCTTCTGATGGTTACTTCCAGCAGGATAATGCACCATGTCCCAAAGCGCACATCTCAAACTGGTTTCTTGAACATGCCAATGAGTTCACTGTACTCCAATGGCCTCCACAGTCGCCAAAGGTGCTCTTTTTAGATTGAGATTTGTTATGTGGTGGAACAAGAGATTCGCATCATGGATGTACAGCCGACAAATCTGCAGCAACTGTGTGATGCCATCAAGTTAATATGGACCAAAATCTCTGAGGAATGTTTCCAACTTGTTCAATCTATGCCACAAAGAATTAAGGCAGTTAAGACAAAAGGGGGTCCAAACCAGTACAAGCAAGGTGTACCTAACAAAGTGGCCGGTGAGTTTATACAGCTGCCTACAGGAGGTGGACACAAAAAAAATATTTAAGCCCAGCCACCATATAAACTCTGCCCCTATTCAGCATGCTTCAGTTTTATAAGAAAGCTGTACATAGGGATCCCTTGTAATTATTGGCCCTAAGGGATAACTGGACAACAGGTCCATAAGGAAGACCAGGCGTGGGATGGCGCTCACCTTAAAACTTCAACCCTGGGTATTGGGGAACAAGGGCTCTAAGGACAAGTATGGCCGACATTGGAAACCATCCAAACTGATTGGATTGTATGCATGTACACTTTACAAGCACTTTAGGAGTTAAAGACAACCCCAAAGGAACCACCCAGAGTCAGAGACTGACAGGAGAAATGGGGTGCAAGTACCTCCCACCAAAATAGACAGGAGTGGGAAGACCACCAGAAAACAGTAGGAGCAGACCTGCCCATTAGGACACCTCACAAGGTCACAGGAAACAGAGGTATAAAAACCCACTGCCGGATCTGCCTACCTGATCAGGGACATAGAACCAAGTTCTCTGACCTGCTACAACCCAATAAAGGGTCCACAGCTGTGGAGCAAGGGGGAGGAATCTTTAGCCAGGGAGCCAAGAACTAGATCAGTTTAAAAGCAGGAGTAGGGAAGATTTTCCCATAGAGGCTGTGAATAAGCCATAGTTGGGAGTGCCTAGCTCCAGAACCCATTGGGAGTATCCTCAGCAGGGCTGTCACGTAAACTAAACACTGAGCCCTCTAGCCATGGTTTCTTTCTGCCATAGGAGTAGATAAAGCACACCCTAGTGCATAAATCTGTTCCCAAAATGGAGACCACTGTATGGAGAGACCCTGAAGGGAAAAATATGCCTCTAAAAGGTAAAAATGCTGTTCAGGTTAATATCCTCATCAAGCAGCATTGCAACCAGGTCACTCACCTGTCACAGGTAGAATTCTTAAACCTTCCCGAATGTGAAGGTCCCAAGCTGATGTTTAACAGAGTCCAGGTCAAAGGACCTACTAACTAGTGCTAATTTACATTTTATATTAAGTGTAAAATTTGTCCTTTTTATGACAACTCTACAATAGTGTTTCTGGTACAAAGCATGGAGCAGTTCTTTACAAAATAGCTTTTGTTAAATCCTGTGTACTGGGTCAGGGTTAGATCGCCACACACAACCTATATCTATAGAATCTTTAGCAAACCTATCCTATTAAATTTATATCCAGTTAGGTTCTTGTACTATATAGTTGTTGATAAATTTAAAGGATACTGTACAGATTGTAATGTGCATGGTCAGCTTAAGGAAGTTTATATATCCCCCCACTAGTCATTCTGCTATGCATGTAATTTTCCTGTTTTTTCAGGGGGCTGGGATGTAGATGTTAAAATTAGGGAGTTCATTTTGCATTCTTAAATCCATCTATACAATCTAAAAGAAAAGCTTTAATACAAAACAGCTCCCAAGAATCAAAATTTGTGGAAAGAGTCATCAAGGTTTTTTTATATGCCCAAGTGACTGGATAATTTGTTTTGTTTGGACGGTTAGTTACAAGATATTTTAATCAGTTATGTTTGCCAATACAGGATGGTCGAGGCTTATGGCCTAGAAACAAACATGTAGTTAATCTTACCGGGAATTTTGTTTTCATGTAACCCCCATGACAGCACCACCAAGAGATAGGCCCAGCCCACCTGAAGGGACACGAAGCAGAGGTTAAATTGCCTCTTCCTACTACATAGCCCAATGCATTACAATTAGGAATCTGGAGTACCACTTGCAAGTTATATTTAATTTGTATGGGGTACGTGGATGGTGTTGCTGCTGTAATGGATAAGGTTACATGTAAACAACTCTTACAGAATTGTGCTAAAAGCCAAGATCTACCATCCTATAGAAGTAGGCTTTCTTAGTGTGTAGACACTTTAAAAACATTTCTGCCCTACAGATGTCTCATTTAATATTTCTTTCCAGTGAGACTGTACTGCTCTCACCGAATATGCTACAAGGGATGTTGGGTGGCTTTCTACCTGAAACTGCAAGCTAAACCATAGTTGCTTTGAAGGATTTGAGTCTTCCAACAATACTAGTGAAATCATGAAGACTGCTCTAAAATCCAGTTAAATCACCATCTCATTTAGGCTTTGGGAGATTTCGGATTCACCTGTTGATCTTTAACAAGTTTCTTAATACTAGACTTATAATTTCAGAAACGATTAATCCTTTGTAAGAGTATTAATTGACATTAAAAATAACTATGGGGTAATCTTTTTATCCCATAGTTCTCTTTAGGGTCACGGGAGGGCATATACTAACATTCTCCTGTGACCCAAAGCTCAGTATCTTGCGGGCAATTGCCCGCGATATATTGAGCGCCGCAGCCAGGACGGATCCCGATAATAATGTTGTGATCCACCCAGCTGTGGGAGTGACAGCTGGCTTTGCCTATCTAGAGGCAGAGCCAACGGTGCTCGCCCCCTCCCCCATCCGTTCCTCCACTCAGCGCTGAAGGATCGAAGAGGGGAGGAATCCTTGCGGGAAGCGGTTACTGATTGTCTCCTTGCAATGAGCTGCGACTATTGGGAAGTGAGTAGATCGGTGCATGTTTCTGCTCACTTCCCGATCAATAGAGCCGACCTGTGACAGCTTCTTTGTCACAGGCCGGCTCTAACTAGGAGGATCACTCATTCACTTCATAGATCTTTAAGTGCAGTTAGCCAAAGAAACAATTTAGTAAACCCTGGAAAGATGAACAATGCATAAAAATACCCATCCTCCACAAAGACAGGAGAATTCTCACATTTGCAGCAAGCAGGGCTGCTTAGTGCAGGGCTCGAAATTTAACACAGCCGCTGTATGAAAGTAGTCAGAAACATTTAGCTAAATGTAATTTTAGTAATGCTATTAGAGAATCCATAAATGATAAAGGTTTTCAGATTTGTCTCATTTTGGCACTAAAGTGGTATCAATCGGGTTCTCGGACATTTGCCATCAAGATTAAAGCCAATGGCATTCATTATACTAATAGATGTACAGATCATTGGGTTTAGTCTTGCATCATTTTCTTACCCATCATTCCACTGCTCTGTTGCAGCCTCTTCAGCTACTAAAATTGCATATTCTTCTGCAGCATACTTCTCCCAATCTGTAAGTTCCTGTCCTTCAGTTTCAACCTATAGGTGGTAGAAAGTTCATGAAGTGAAAGATTACTCTGATGAGCAATAGTGGGTTTGCCACCCAAGCTGCCAGTCACCTACCCGTACTGCAGAAAAAGGTTCTTTCTGCTCATGGTCCAAATACTTGTCTAGGTTCAGAAAAGTGTCCAAGAACAGATTTGCCTGCTTGCATTTCTTCAGATCATGGAGAGTAATTTTACCTGTAAAAAACATCAAAACCTATATTTTACTTAATGCTCATAAAATGTATAGCATGTAACTTTAGGGTTTTATAATAAAAAGATATACCATCACAATGCGGTTTGACAAGATCCAACATCTGACACAGGCAATCCTCAAATGATAAGGGCTCAATGGCCATGCTTTCCATTTTCTGGCACTGTTCTTCATAGAAATACTCCAGCTCATACATAGATAGCACACCATCTCCATCCAGGTCCATGCAGCGAAACCAGTACTCAATACTGAAAGACAAGGTATTAGCCAACATCTATTAAAACAAAGCCGACCACCACTCAAAACTGTTTACATTTCACAAGCAGTGTTTAATCTCCTGCTGGCTATTTACAGCTATAACAGATGTTGCTAGACGCACTGCCACTGACCAAAGTAAAATCCTGCTTCATTATTTCCACATCACCGACTCTCTAATGTATTTTCCATAAGGGATTATATATGGAAAACCAAACCTGGAACTGCCTTGCAGTGAAATAATCAGCATGGCCTAGCCAAGAAGCAGAGCCTGAATATGCAAGCTCGTTTGGGCAAGGTCTTCACCTACTGTTTCTGTAGGTCAACGATGTTTGTCAGCTTTTCTTGCTTGTCTTGTTTAAATGATTGTTGGCACTATATAAAATAATTGTAAAAGGGGTAGGTGTGCATTAACCTCATCTATTCATACATAATCATTACTTATACACAGAATTCGTGTGTGGATTTCAATATGAATGTCAGCGGGTAAGACCGCAATAAACTTTGCTAAAATCCTTGCAATGTTTGTAAGTGTCCAGAGGAGAACGTGGTGTTGCACCAACAATGCTCTGACCATTTTGCATGCCAAACTCTTATGCACGGTTTCCTGACAAAACTGTCACTTATTTACAGGCAACAACAATAAGCAGTTCTATTGTTAAAAAAAAAAAAGAAGTGTATACATTAGAATTCCAGGTGTTAGACCATCATACTCCAATGTGGCTGTAACTTGGCAAGGGTTACAAATCCTAATAAAATTACTCCGTATAGACCCCTTTGTACAAACTCTTCCATTCTGAGGGATTTGCTTCATATCCAACACAAAACTGATTTTGCATGATCTTCAATCCTGCCCAAACCCCCCACCCCCCACCCCCCCCTCATGGGACCCGCTTCCCTCTTAAAAGGAGAACTATGGGGTCAGTGTTTTTCCCCATAGTTCTCCTTAGGGTAACGGGAGGACACAAACTAGCGTCCTCCCGTTACCCTAAGCTCATTATACCGCGAGCTGCAGCTCTAAATTTTCCCTTTAGTACTGATAAAACGATACCACGAGGTAAGAGCCTTAGTGGTCTTTCACATGTATTCTACATTTTAATTTGATGATAATACTTTGTCCTAACCTCCACCCCCTCATTCTAAAATACCATGCACCAAGGGTGATGACATTCACACATGAACTCCATTATACCAGCTAGTTGAAGATTTGTTTTTTGGAATGTGTATATTTGAATTTTTGTGGCACGGCTCATGATATTTAGGATAACTTATACCCCTACTTGCCATCTATTTTTGTACAAGTAGTCAGCTTCCATACGGTTTAGGAATATGGTTTGTAATTTCACCCTTTTAACTACAACCCAATAAAACTCTCTATATATTGTAGTACACATTCCAGGATGTTCAGCAAATGACATAAAAACAAGTGTTTCTCTAGTTTTTAAATAGAGCGTAAAAACAAATGCACATTCCTAGCTGTGACTTCGATGCACACCATACACATACTTTATGTTCTCTATGGTCATCTTATAAGGCCTAGAGTGAACAGTGTCCATATTGGTGTTCATTCCACGCCCCATTTGTTCAATACCCTAGGATTCTTGATATGAGATTTGTAAAACGAATGGCTTGCCCCCCCCCCCCCCCCCCATTTTTTTATACACTGTAAAATAAA